AAGTACTTTCTTAAGAATAAATTTTCCTACCTTGGTCTAAGCATGAAGTTACCTGATTGCTATGGTGGTTATTAGGGCCCTTTTCCTGCACTGCAGATCCACTTTTGAATTTTGGGTCTGTTATTGGCCTCAGGGATCTGAGATTTCCTTACCTGCTCTGAAGCTGTCACAAGGCAGCAGGACGTGTCTCCTCTAAGCAGGGAGTCCCCACAACCTCCTAGGTGACATATGGAGCCCCCACGTTTGTTGCCTAAATTTTTAGAAATACTGGTTTTCGGGGCTGGGTTGTGGCTCAGTGGTAGAGTGCTTGCCTAGCATGTATGAGGCACTGGGTTTGAGTTTCAGCACCACATATAAGCAAATAAATAAATAAAGATCCATCAATAACTAATAAAATATTTGAAAAAAAGAAATACTGGGTTGCCACAAGGAATCAAACATGCTTGGAAGTATCTTGGCAAGGCAAACTTTACATATGCAGAAGGGGGTGCTACAAAAGTCTGGCAAGCAAGCACACTTGGGCAGGAAGTCTACCTGTTTTAATTCCTAACACAGCACTGCCCCTTGGTCTGATAGGAGGAGCTCAGGGTTACAATCTATGCTTTTGGTCAGTTTTAAAATTGGGGCAGGCCAAGGGAAGGGCTATAGTTAAAATTGTAACAATTGGATCTCAAAATGACTACAATTGGATCTTACATCCCAATTAAGGCTAAGTACTATATTCTAAAAATGGACGATTGAACTTTTTATTTCTCACAGTTGTAGTATGTATTAATTATATATAACTATATATATAATTATATATGTAACTATAGTTATATATAATTATTTGTAATTACATATAGTTATACGTATATAGTCATATATATTATATACTAATTATATATAGTGGGTCTATTTCTGGGCTTATATTCTTATATTTATATTCTGTTCCATTAATTTATATGTCTGTTCTCTGTTTTGACTACTGTAGCTTTATAGTAACTCTTGATGTTGGGTACTTAGTTCTGCAACTTTATCTCCTTCAGTATTGTGTTGCCAATTCTGGGTCTTATCTCTCCATATATTAGAATTAGTTTGTTGATATCTACAAAATTACTTGCTGAGATTTTGATTGAGATTGCAGTGACTCTCTAGATCAAGTTGGGAAGAGGTGATATCTTGACAATAGTGTTCCTGCACAGAAACATGCAATATCTTTAGATTTTTATAGTTTTCTTCATATAGCTCTTCTGCATATTTTATTAGATTTATACCCAAGTACTTAATTTTGAGAGTGCTAATGTCAGCGGTTTTAAAAAATATTTTTTTTAAGTTGTGGTATGGACACAATACCTTTATTTTGTTTATTTTTAATGTGGTGCTGAGGATTGAACCTAGTGCCTCATATGTGCTAGGCAAGAGTTCTACCACTGAGCTACAAACCCAGCCCAATAGTGGGGTTTTTAAAAAATATTTTTATTTAAAGATGGACACAATACCTTTTTTTTTTTTTAATTTATTTTTATGTGATGCTGAGGATTGAACCCAGCACCGCACATGTGCTAGGCGAGTGCTTTGCTGCTGAGCCACAACCCCAGCCCGGGTTCCAGGAGTTTTCTTATCAATTCTTTCGGGTTTTCTGCCACGACTTTTTAAAAATACCAACTGATATTTATTTAACGAGGGTATGGTTCTAGATTATTAAAATATAGTCATGGTCTTAGCAAAACCTTGCTAATCTGGAAGCTCTTTTCTCTTGGAGTCATTTTAGGAATACAGCATGAAGATTTCTTTAAGACCTTCAATTTCGTGTAATAATTTAAAAATATATATTACATCTTTTAAAAAATCATGGTAAATGCACATAACATAAAAACTCACCAACTTAAAACCATTTTTAAAGTAGGTTAAATGCAGTCACATTGTTGTGAAAACAATCTCTAGAACTTTTATCTTGCAAAACCAAAACAGTATACCCATTAAACAACTCCTGGTTTCTTTCTCCCCTCAGCCCCTGGCAATCACAGTTCTACTTCCTGTTTCTATGAATTTGACTACTCTAGATACCTCATATTAGTGGAATTATATGATGTTTGTCTTTTCACGACTGGCTTATTTCACTTAGCACAATGTATTCAAAGTATATTGGTGATGTAGCATGTGTCAGATATTATCTTAAGGCTGAGTATTGTAATTTGTGTGGATATATACACTATATTTTGTTTATCCATTTATCTGTTGATTGATGTTTAGGTTGTTTCTGTGTTTTGGCTATTGTGAATAACAGTACTGCTATTGACATGGGTACATACATACCTGCTTGAATTGCGAGATCACACGGCAATTCTGTTTTGAATATTTTTTGGGGGGAGGGGTAATGGGAATTGAACAAAGGAACACTATATCACTGAGCTTCATCCCTAGCCCTTTTTTATTTTGAGACAGTTGGCAAGACTGGCTTCAAACTTGCAATCCTCCTACCTCAGCCTCCTGAATCACTGTGGTTACAGGTATGCACCACTGTCCCTGGTTCTATTTTTAATTTTTTTGAGGAATCACTGTACTATTTTCCATAGTGGCTATACCATTTTATATTCCCAACACCAATGTACAAGTTTTTCAATTTATCTTGTTAATACTTGCTATATTCTCTTGTTTCTTTCTTTTTTTTATTTGTGAACCCAGGGCCTCATATATGCTAGGTCTTTTTTTTTTTTTTAATGTAGTAGTCATCCCAATGTGTATGAAGTGGTATATTGTAGTTTTGGTTTTCCTTTTCCTAAATATTAGTGATGTTGAGCATCATTTCCTGTCTTCTTGGCCATTTGTATATCTTCTTTGGAGAAATGTTTATTCAGATTCTTTGCTCAAGTTGGTTACTTGTTTTTTTTTTCGTTCATACGTATTTCTCAACCTAAGTGGAGCCGTAGGAATTCTTTATATTTTCTAGATACTAAGTCCTTACCAGATATGATTTAAACATATTTTCTTCCTTTTTACTCTGTTGGTGTCCTGTAATGCACAGATATTACTAATTTCAGTGAATCCAATTTACCTGTTTTTACTTTGTTGAATGCTTTATGTCATATCCAAGAAATAATTTTTAAGTGCAATGTAATGAAGTTGTGTTTTCTTCTAAAGCTTTACAGTTTTGTATCTTATGTTTGGGTCTTGGATCCATTTTGAGTTAGATTTTGTATATGACACTATGTAAGGGTCCAGGTTCATTCTTTTGCATGTTCATTCCCCCCCCCCCCCCCCCCCCCCCCCGTTCATTGAAAAGACTATCCTTTCTCCACTCAATGGTCTTGGTACTTTTGTTGAAAAATCATATATTTATTTATTATTCATAATATATTCTTGTTAACTATCTAAACTTGTTTTTTTTAATAACTTGAGTCCATTTTTCTAGTTTCATGTGAAGGTGGAAAAATGGAGAATTTAAGTAAAAGTTTTTTTTAGTTTTCACTTAATAACTGGCAAACATGGTTACTTCATACTATCATATAGAACGATATAGATGTATTCATAACTATATTTTCTTTAATACATCATTAGCACAGGCTATGGCCTCCTCACATAGAACCTAGAAATGGTACTGAACTTTTCTACCACACTTCCCATATAGTTGTAAAAGACAATGGTCAAATGAGCAAAAGGATATGTAGATCAGGAAATGCAGTTTGTTTTAGGTTAATGACTTTAGTAGAAAGTCTGGAGAAAATGTATTCTTTGGCAAAATTATATTTTTTTCAATATAATATTTAATTTAAAAATTGACTTTTATTTATCTGTGTGATAAAGGAGGGTGGAAAATTAAAATTTGCTGATAACTGAAACTTTTTTGTTTATGTTGTTTTGATATGGGATCTCACTAAGTTGACTAGGCTGGTCATGAACTCCTGGGCTCAAGTGAATGTGCTTCCTCAGCCTCCCCAACAGCATGGTGCATGCATATCACCATTCCTGGACATTTTATCTCTATTTAAAATGTGGCACACACATTACAAATTACCAACAAAACAAAACAAAAAACCCAAAAACAAAACGAAGAAAAACCCAGACAAAAACAAACAAAAAATTACCTAAAACTTTTTAAGGAGAGTTGTGAATTGAAAAATCTTTTACTCCCTTTGTCATATTCCCCAGTAGAGGTATAGATGCATAGAAAGTAAGAAGAAAAATCTGAAGTATAAAAACCTCAGTGTAGCTTTTAAGAAGATCTAATTTTATAATTCATGCACAATATTTCAAGATGTTGATTATTACAGATATCTACAATTTGAAAACTTTTATATGCTAATGAACAGGTATCAAGAACTGTGAAGGGTCCAAAATTTTACCCTACTTACAAGTTAATAAATTATGGAACTGTTTCATGTCTGCTGGTAAAAGGCATAAGACTCCTGGCATTAGAAACAAAGGACAGTTTATTAATCATAACAATAGTACCCAGAGTATCAATATTTTTTTTTAGTATTTATTTTTTAGTTGTAGTTGAACACGATACCTTAATTTTATGTGGTGCTAAGGATCAAACCCAGGGTCTATCACTGAGCTACAGCCCCAGCCCAGCATTTTAAATATATTTATATTTGCATTGATTTCCTGAGTTCTATTACCATATAGCAATGTGAAAAGGGCCAAATGCCACCAGCACACTCTGGGCTATTTAAAGAGAAAGAACTCGGAACTTAAGGAGCCTCAAATCTTTTATAATAGATAGTAAACATGCCTACTCTTTGCTCCAGAGGAAGATAATATCTCTGAGTTTTATGGGGCAGTCAGTGCCTCATAGCAGTAAGATTCAAAAGATACAGGGGAAATGTCTACTACTAATGGGTTTGAGCTGACATTTTTGCTTAATAAATATTTTACATATAATGTAAATTAGTGATATAAGTAAGACCAGCTGACAAAATTTTTAAAATACTAGAGAACAAGGTTTAAATATTGTTTTTGAAGTACCTAATAATGTACAGCTTAAAACATTTTCAAAATTTGTATATTACTAAAAATAAAGTATGTTAAGGACTTTTATTTAGGATCACTTTGCTACTATTATGCTATGTTACATAGACCATCTTTCCTTTTTAAAAATCCATATGGGGAGATTTTAATTGAATCAGGTCATGAAAAAGGCTGATTTCTTTTTGAAGTTAAAAAAAAAAAAAGTTCATTTTTTTACACCAAACCAAAGTGAACCATTCTGAGAGAACCACCATCTCCAATGTCCTGCAAGTAAATAGACAAACATAATTAAAATAAAATCATGTTTAAGCAGAGCAAAAATATTGACTTAACATTTAAATCTTTACTATTTTTAAGTATTTAAAAACAGTGAAATAAAATTCTTTAAAATGTATTTTACATATGTAGATACAAGATCTTTATATTTATCTTACTCAATTATTAAAACTCATTATAGTTTTCATGAAATTAATCAAGAAATATATGAAGTATAAAAAGGCAAAGAAGGAAGGACAAGATGATAATTGAAATTTAGAAGCTTTTGAGGACTCCTACAACAAAAAATTGTAAACTGCAGTTTATTGTGATTCTGCCTATTTGATTTTAAAATACTGTGTGTTCTAAAAGGTTCTAAATACAATTCAATGCATTTCTTAAATCTGATTTTTTTAACTGAATATTTGACCAGTGACTCCTGAGGTAAGGAATCAAATAGAAAAGATTATATAATTTCATAAGCTTTTTACAACATGTTATAAAAGTAAAAAGAAATATTAACAAGAACTTCATTCATTTCCCATTTGTTATTCTTTCCATGATTCATACCTCTCCTATACCGATATCAACATCATTGGGTACAGAAAAGCAAGATTTTATGATGGGATTCTGAAACTAGAGAGTATGTTTGAAGGCAAGACTAAAGAAGAGTAATTCCAGGTACTGGGGCTGTAGCTCAGTGGCAGAGCGCATGCCTACCATGTGTGGGGCACTGGGTTAGATCCTCAGCACCCCATAAAAATAAACAAAATAAAGGCATTCTGTCCATCTGCAGCTATCAATAAATAAATAAATCAGAGTGTTTCCATTTGAAAAATCATACATTAGGAGCAGTTTTTGAAAATTTGAAGGTAGCCTACTTGCAGTTGAAATGATAAGGTGAAAGGTGAAGAAAGTAGGGATAACAGCTGGCACTCACACTAATGATACAACCGGTTACCAGTGACGACTTCTGCTTCTTCACATATTGAACACATAAGCATATAAATCAGGGTTTATCAACAAGTGCTGGCGAGGATGTGGGGAAAAGGGTACACTTGTACATTGCTGGTGGGACTGCAGATTGGTGCAGCCAATTTGGAAAGCAGTATGGAGATTTCTTGGAAAGCTGGGAATGGAGCCACCATTTGACCCAGCTATTCCCCTTCTTGGTCTATTCCCTAAAGACCTAAAAAGAGCATGCTACAGGGACACTGCTACATCGATGTTCATAGCAGCACAATTCACAATAGCAAGACTGTGGAACCAACCTAGATGCCCTTCAATAGACGAATGGATAAAAAAAATGTGGTATTTATACACAATGGAGTATTACTCTGCATTAAAAAATGACAAAATCATAGAATTTGCAGGGAAATGGATGGCATTTGAGCAGATTATGCTAAGTGAAACTAGCCAATCCCTAAAAAACAAATGCCAAATGTCTTCTTTGATATAAGGAGAGTAACTAAGAACAGAGTAGGGTCGAAGAGCATGAGAAGATGATTAACATTTAACAGGGATGAGAGGTGGGAGGGAAAGGGAGAGAGAAGGGAAATTGCATGGAAATGGAAGGAGACCCTCAGGGTTATACAGTGGAGGGGGTAGAGAGAGAGGAGGGGAGGGGAGGGGAGAGGTGGGGAGGGGGTATGGTGGAGGATGGGAAAGGCAGCGGAGCACAACAGACACTAGTATGGCAATATGTAAATCAATGGATGTGTAACTGATGTGATTCTGCAATCTGTGTATGGGGTGAAGGTGGGAGTTCATAACCCACTTGAATCAAAGTGTGGAATATGATATGTCAAGAAATTTGTAATGTTTTGAACAACCAACAATAAAACATTAAAAAATAAATAAATAAATACAAGTCAAAATATTTAAAAAAAAATAAATAAATCAGGGTTTATTTAAAAAAGGATAACATAGATTTCTCCTGTGAGGGAGAAGGGGGCTATAGCTGGTATTCTGGTATCCCAAAAAGTGAGGATGTTCTTTCTTTTCTATGTGTCATAGATTTCCTTTGTTCTCCTCCTTCTTTATCTCTCTCCTTCCTGCATAGGTGACTAGGCCCAGGAGATAATTGGTTGGAGGGCCAAAAGGTGTGAAGCAGCTTCCTGGAGGGGCCAAGGTGGCGTGATCTGGGCAGGAAAAGGGGCATAATTAAGAACTCCTATAGGGAGGGACAATCATGGGACAGGTTGCCTTAGCAATAGGTTGGAGCAGGTTATCTTGATAAGGGTAAAGGAAGGGCTGTGAAGGTATTAGCATTTCAACCCCTCTCCAACTTCCCAGACTCACTCAAATTGGCCTCCTTGATTTGACCTGACTCAATTTTCCTACCTATACTGACTGCTTGTCTAATTTATTACCATGTGCTAATATGAGATTTTTTTCCAAAAGTATCAGTGAAAATAACTTATCTAAAAATATTTTTTTTGTTATTGTGTTAGGATATTTAAAATAATATAAGGCTTGGGTGTAGCCCAGTATTAGAGTGCATGCCTAACATATATAGGTTACATCCCAAGCACCGTTAAAAAAAAAATTCCTTAAGTATTAAAGTTCTTTTTCCTAAGAAGCCTTTCATAAAGCCTGCATTCATACTATTTTACATAGTCACAGCTCAAGGAAAACGGGTATGGAGTGGAAGGTAAGGGAGGGGTGTGTGTGTGTGTGGAGGATGCAAGTTCGAGCTCTCTAGCTGCTAAAGTACACACACACCAAAAAAAAAAAAAAAAACCTGGAAAAACAGGTAACAAGAAGAATGAGTAATTTAATACTGCCCCAGGCTTGTGTGTGTGTGCTGGCAAGTTCAGCCGTTTTAGGTAGCTTTCAATTTAAAAACAAAACAAAACATTAAAAGCACTGTCATTTTAAAGACAAGCTCCAACTCTTGGCCTACAAACTGCCCTACCAAAGTCTAATTTCTACACCATTAGAATGGTCATTGAGGAGCCTGTAGCTAGGTTTTGGTCTTTTTTATCAACTGGTGGAGATCCTAGGTAAATTATTTTATTTTCCTATACTGCAAGTATAGGGAAATAAATACTTGCAGCTGAAAGGTCAGGTTTCACATGAAGCGTCATGTGGTTTAGCTATTTTTTCCTCCTTTCTTCCCTGCTACCTTCTTTCCTTCTGTTTTCCCTCGCTCTTTCCTTCCCTCCCTTCTCCCACTTTCTTCCCTTCTTTCTTTCTAGTGATCTCAGGAGTTTTTTTTAAAAAGCCATAAAGGTTTCCTTTGAAGAATTTCCTTTAAAATCCATTGCAAAGACTTCAGGGCATTTCCAAGGTTTCCATGATAAGTTACACAATGCTAAATAACCTTGACTTGTACTCTGTTTACCTTAGAGGGATATTTTGAAGATTAATGAAATAAAGTTTTACATTCAGTTGTTTCATAATAATTAAAGCATACTCATTTAAATAAAATTTGTAAAACAGAAAAGTACAAAAATTTACCCAGTCTCACCAATCACATAAAATATGATGAACATTATTTCCTTCCAGTTATCTTTTTTCCAAAATTTATTTACTTATTTTAAGCCCAGGTAAAATTTTATATATATAATTCCACATCTTTTATTTTCTTACTTTTGGTTTCTCTTTGAACACTTTTCAGTGCTCCCACAGTCTTTGTTTCTAATTTTATTCCATCAAATATTACAACTTATATAAATTTCACCAAAAAATGAAATTATTAATGTGCAATTGCTTTTTTTAATAAAAAAGCCTTATGATGGATATTCTTAGACATTAGTTATTTTCTGGATTTAGGATTATTTCCTTCTTACAGAACTGTAGAAATACAGTTATGAAATTTTATCCCTTGATAAACAGTGTAGAATTGGTAGTTTCGCTTTGTTTCTTTCATAGTTTGGGAAAAGATGATTTTATTTGGTAACAGGAAGTTGTAGTTCCAAATGAGGTTGATCTTCATTTTATTATGTGTTGAAATTATGCTCACCCTTGACTGAAGGAAGGTACATGTTAATTCCTGTAGTAATTTACACAACAAAAGGGTTTTCCCCAGTTCCTCATTTGACTTCTACATATAGTTAAGTGCATTTTCTGAGCCACACCTTACTGCTGTTACCTAATGTTGGGTGATACCAGGTCACTTTCTTTTAAATGTATGTAGACTTTTATAAGCAAACTCAAGACATGTTAAGGTTTGCTTTGCTAAAAACTGGATTTTGACCTGTTGCTCACTTAATACAGATTTTTTTTTCTATGATATAAGTGATCATGCTTTTGTTTTGTATTAGGTTTCCTACTAATGGTTTCTCCTAAAGATTCTGATATAACAATAATTAAATTCCAGATGGTGAATTTTAGAAATAGAAGAAACTTGAAAACTCCTAATCTGAAATCCTTTCATCTTATAGATGAGCAAACGGATGCTCATGTAGGTGAATTGCTTTGTCCATTCACTTATTTAGTGACAAAGCTGGAATTAGAATTTAGTTCTTATTTGTCTGGAATGCTTTTTCCACTGCAGCTTTTTTCTTTTCAACATACTAACAAATAACATGTTTTGTAGGCTGCTTTATGATTAGTGTTAGGTTGGTGGAGGTGGCTGAGGAACAAAGCACTAAGCAACTGGAGCGGGAAAGAACCACCAATCAGGCACCAACGGAACCGCCTGTCAATCAGTGGGGTCTTCTGGACAATCCTGGATCTTAGCCAACTAACCCCAGTAGGACAAGGGACTCTGAAAACCCCCTTTTCCTGTCGTAAGCCCAATAAAAATTCCAGTCTGGTGGAGCCACTGCTCTTCTCCCAGATTGGACTTGTTGGTCTGGAGGGTCTCACCTGGGAGTGAAATCTCAACAAGCCTTGTTCAGCAGCCTTTTTAATCTGCCTCCTTTTGGTCACTGCTGCCTGACTTACAAGTAGCTCCTCTCACTCCCTGGTTTTGTCATTTAAGGCCCTGGCTTATATTCGTGCCAGTAGCCCATCATATGGCAATAGATGCTTTCCTGAGTAAATTGACCAGGAATTCAAGTTTCACTATTAACCATTAACTCTGCTTCATGCATATTTGATATTATAATGAGATTTCTTTTTAGTTAACATCGTAGAGTTTCGGTACTTAATGTTGTTTCTAGGAAATGCAGTCTCACACTGACTACTGTCTAGCATTTGCTAGGTTGGTTTGAGATTTCAGGTACTTACAAGAGACAGGTTAACAGATAAGCTAACTAACTTCCTAACTCCTTCTGTGGTAAGTAAACTATCAAAAATGTATTTAGAACATGTAATTTCATCTTTCCACAGAAATACCTGCAGTGGATTATGATTTAATATAATACCTTAAGCTTATATAGATGAGGTATCATAAGAAACATCTTTGTGAATAGGAATTGTCTTTTTGGAAACTATACAAAAACCTGTTTAGTTTTTCAGTTTTCTGACATAAGCAGTCTTGAGTATGAGTGTCCTAGAAAAACATTTCCTCAAATTTATTATTTGAATAACTTTAAAAAATTAAGTCAAAAAGAACAATTATAGCAAATCATGTTTTGGAGTTTATAAAATGCTTTGCCATTATCTAATTTGACATAATAAGCATGTGGTATTATTTTTAAAAATTATACTCAGATTACAAACAGGCATGGAGGTGCGTAGCAGTGAGGAAATAGCAAACAAAACTGAAATTGAGAGAGTTTGTATATAAATTCTCCATTCTGTTATATCATGATGCCTTCCAAAGTAAACCTATTTCCCTTTTTTGCTTTCCCTCCTCAAATTCAGAGTTAAACTCAGTTTTTGAATTTATTTTTTAGTTGTAGTTGGACCCAACACCTTTATTTTATTTATTTTTATGTGGTGCTGAGAATTGAACCCAGGGCCCCGCACATGCTAGGTGAGCGCTCTACCGCTGAGCCACAACCCCAGCCCCTAAACTCAGTTTTAATTTGTATCTAATATCTTACTAGAGCTCTCTCTTATTCTGCATCTTGTAATTTATTTTTCTTTTATGAATGAATTATTTTTGATATTATATATAACACAATTATGAATTGCCCCAACATTTTTGGGGAGGAGATAGGACATAAATACTAGGATAAATTCAGTATTTATGAAGAATGATCATTATATTTATGGCTGTGTTAAAATTTTTTTACCTAGCGGTTCATCCAAGTCACCCATTTGAGTATGTTGACATTTTTTTGTGGGTGTGATGCTAGGGATTAGAACCTAGAGCCTTGTGCGTGCAAGGCAAGCACTCTACCAGACAAGCTATATCCCCCAGTGTATGTTGACATATTTTAACATATTAAAAAATAATCCTTTGGAGCAAAGAATAAGCATAAAAATAATGTATCATTTACTATTTTTCAACCAATGCTTGAAGCTACTGTCCTATAAGTAATTTAATTAATTTATGATAGAAGAATGTTAGTGAAAAATCACTACTTTATCAATCACTTTAGAAGTTACACACTTCAGCTTCAGGAGATCTTTATTAATATAGTTGTCAGTATGTGAATATTGGGGGTTGGGGGTATGTGCGTTCACATACCTCCTATCTTATCTGCACCATTCCCCTTGGGCTGGGCCTAACTCTCCTGCTAAGAGTAAGAATATCAAGAGCAATAGAAATAGTAGATTGCTATGTCTGCCATAAGTTCCCATTAAAAGAATGAGTTTCTGCCATTTCCAAGTCTAAGATTCCTTTTAAACAGTATGAAAATGAGTAGTACAAGCAAAATAAAGGGGAAGGCTATAGGTGAATTTTATGTTATAGTCTAGCTTTCCATATTTCCATTGTGTGACTTCAAGAGGTAATTTATATAAGGAGTTTCTACATAACATGAGTAGGGGTTGTTCTAGACAAGACTTAACCAGGGTGATTGTGCCATCCCATGCTCAAGGAAACATTTGGCAATGGCTAGAGTTATTTGGTCATCATAATTTGGTTGGGAAAACTCCTAGCATCCAGTAGGGATTGCTGCTAAATATTCTACAATACAGAGGATGACTCCAACAACAAAAGGATTATTTGGCCCTAAATGTCACAAGTGCTAAGGATGAGAAACCTTGGTCTGGAGCCAGATTATTTAAATCTGAATTCCAGCTTCTTCCTTTCAAGCTGTGTGACTATGGTTAAATTATTTAATTTTCATGTCTAAATTTCATTGTTTGTATGGGGCTAATAGCAGTATCCTTCTAGGGGTTTGCTGAATTAAAACATTTAAGATATTGAGACAAGTACCAGTTATTTAATAAGTACATAATACATACCTTTATGTCAAATAATAAACTGTTGCTTTTTGTTGTTGCTATCAAATATATTCAATTGGTTCAAGTTGACAAAGAGGTGATAAATAGGTTGAAAAATAGTTATTACCATAGTTTGTATGTGGTTTGCCCCCAAAGGCTCACTTATTGGAGGCTTAGTTCCAATATGGCAGCCTTAAGAGGTGGCAGGACTTTCAAGAGATGGAATTTATTAGGTCAGATGCAGTGGGGCGTGCCTGTAATCCCAACATTTTGGGAGGCTCAGGCAGAAGGATCACAACTTTGAGGACAGCCTCAGCAACTTAGCAAAACCCTGTCTCAAAAAAAAAAGAACTAGGGATGTGGCTTGAGCACCTCTGGATTCAATCACCAGTACCCAAAAATTTTTTAAAAAAAAGGAGGTAGGGGCTTAGTGCATGATGACTAGGTTCCTGGGGGTACTGCCAGAGGAATTAATTCTGATATTATGGAATGAATTCTTGCCAGAGTAAGTTATAAAAGGGCAAACTTGGTCCCTGAATCTCTCTGTGGCTTCTAGTCTTGCCATGTAATCTCTTATGTATGCATACTCCTTCCATTCTAATGCCATCTGCTATGAGGTCCTTGCAGAGGTTGAACTGATGGGACAACCAGATCTTGGACTTTCAGCATCCCAAACTGAAGCCTAAATAAACCTCTTTTCTTCGTAAAATACATAGTCCATTTTCTGTTGCTGTAATGAAATGTGTGAGACTAATACACTTATGTATTTTTACAAAATTTTCTTTTCATATTATAAGGACAATCCCTGAAATGTACTGTATGAAAATTTTGAATAAGAAGACTTTTACAAATGATAATGATAGGTTGTTATAATCTGTATCTTATTTGTACTTGATAACAATTTCTACACAAGAAACCAGAGGATGAACATAAAGTGTGTGTAAATTAGCAGTAACATGTTTAAGCTATATTACCCTCTGAACTCAGTCCTGTGACCAGTTAGGTTACAACAACCATTCTGTACAGTAATACATAAACAGATGTTTCTCTTGTTCTGTATATCAGCCCTTCTAGAAAAATTCTTGAGAAGTTAGTTTTCTTTTTTGTATCTCATGCACATTTGTGTATCCAAGTGGATGTGACTATAAAATTTTGATAGAATACTGTTTTTCCTTTAACAATTATTCTAAAATAATGAATGATTTAAAATGCATAAAATTTATAATAAAGTATCTTTAAGCTTTAATAAATTAAATGCAAATTGTTATATATGTGTATTTAACTATAATATGGTGTGTTTTCTTCTAAATAAATAAAGATTTACGTTTTTTCAATATAGGTATGTCCATAGGGTAGACTGAAGTAATGATGTTGTTGATAATTACTATCATTAGTATAGTTACATATAATTAATAAAATCCTACCATGTTCATGTTCATAATAGAGCTTCACACAAATCCTTTGGGGTATATGGAATTATTTCTATTTTACATATAAAGAAGTTGAGGCTTAGAATGATGGAATGAATAGTCCAAAGTTATAATGTTAATAATTGTGGAATAATCATTCAAATCTAAGTCTCAGAATGAATCAGATAGTATAATAATCCATTTTGGGGTACTTATAAAATTATAAGGATTTCTCATACCAAGCCTTTTTTGAAAATGGTATAAAATAGGACTTTGATACCTCTTTTCAGAATTAACAAAAACAGAATGTGGAAATGGGTTCAGGACCAGTTGTTAGAATTGGTATTTCTACATGTTACTTATAAAAATTATCTGATTCATTTTATTACATATATAATTTTTATAAGGGTTTTAAAAATGTTGTACTTTGAATAATTTCAGTCATATACCAATAAGAGAATGATATACATGAACTGCTCTATTACCATCCAGCTTCATCAATTTTCATCCTTTGGTGACTCTTCTTCTATATCCTTCCTAATTTCTTGCTACTGAATTATTTGAGTCAAATTCAAGCTTCATTTATATATATTTCATTATGCATAATTTTACTTAAAAATAACAATTTTAATAATTGTAACTTTGAAATAATGCAAAGCTAACTCTTAAGAAACAGTACAGAAACGTAATCCAGTTAATGTAGACAAAGGCAGCATTTTCTAAGTTTAAAATGATCACATATCATGTTTTTCTCTTAGAATTTAAATGTCTGATTATAAATAGTAAGAGAAATTACCTGTCCTCTGTAATCTTCTTTCAGTTCTCCTAAAATAAAAGATCACAACAGTAATGACCTTAAAAATCAAATAAAGGACTTTCTAAAAATTAACAAAACTTTTCAATTTCTTCATGAAAAGAAAAACACTGCAAATGCAACTTAAATAAATTAAAATGCTGAAAACCAAACCTTAAAATAGTATGAAAGTGCTAAATTATTCTTCTATATAAGTTATGGGTAATATGCACTGAAGTAAAATAAGGAGACTATATCTTGTCCTTTCTGTTGTTAAAATGATGTCTTACTAGCATGGCCAGGAGTTTAATCTGTCAGTTCTAGTTGAGTAGTGGTGGTTACCTGGGGGCACAGTGGGGAACTGTGTTGAGAAGGCACTTCCTCCTATTTTATATTATATTTTGAACTCAATGGGAAAGGAAGCCATAATTGATTACTGAGGTATCTGTTCTAATACCAGTACTATATCTGCTGACTTAGTATATCGCTTAAATTTACATGCAGAGAGAAAAGTACTATCATTATTGCCACAATGTAATTTCTCATTATTGATAGATATTAGGTAGGAATTATATTACATATTCTCATCCTTGAAACAATGAATTGGGTATAATTGATGGTATTTATAAATCTCAGTTATGTTTCTCTTAAAGTACTTGGTGTATACAGATGCCATTCATTGGGCACTAGGTGATAACATACCTTTGTTTATCTGTCCCTCTCTACACACACAGATACACAATCTTTTTTTTTTTTTTTTTTGGTACTAGGGATTGATCCAGATGTGCTTTACCACTGAGTTACTTCCCCAGTCCTTCTCATTTTTTTTTAAATTTTTAGTTGGACATAATACATTTATTTACTTATCTATGTGATGCTGAGGATTGAACCCAGGGCTTCACACATGCTAGGTGAGTGCTCTACCACTGAGCCACAACTCCAGCTTTATTTTGAAACAGGGTCTCCTCCTTAAGTAGCCCAGCTGGCCTCAAACTTGTTGTCCTCTTGCTTTAGCCTCATGGTTTGCTGGGATTACAGGTATGTGCAATTGTGCCTGGTACTAACTTATATTATTCTCTTTATTCATTTAGTTTACCTTCCTAGATAGATTAGACATTTACTAAAATGTATCGATAGCATCTTATTCCTCCTCATAGAGCCAGCACCAAGTAATGCCCTGATGATGACTGCATTTCTCTCAAAACACTTCTTACTTTTCTGTCATCAACCCTCTTACTTGTTCACGGGGGTATTTTTGTGTAGTTTGGGATGTTTTGTTTATATAGTTCAAAGATCTGTATTGTAATGTTTTCACAGGACAGCTGATTTTTAAAAAATAGGTTGGCTCTTGATTTTAGACAAACATTTAAATCCTGCAATAAGATGCTTATTCTCTTGTTGATCTCTACGAGTATAAAATTAGCGAACTCTTTCAGAAACTGGTTCAACATTTGTCTCTCAGTGGTCAATGAATTCTTTTAATGGCTACACAAAACTACCCAGCTTTAATTTAAACATGTATTTTTAAAAATTTATTTGTTATTTTTAGATATACATGACAGTATAGTATATTTTGATATACTTATACAAACATGGAGTATATTTTATTCTAATTAGGATCCCAGTCTTGTGGTTGTATGTGATGTGAAGATTCATTGTAGTGTATTCATGTTTGTACATAGGAACGTTGTGTCAGATTAATTCTATTGTCTTATTCCTATCTCTACTCCCTTCCCTCCATTCCCCTTTGTCTAATCCACTGAACTTTTATTCTTCTGTCTCCCTGTTGTGTTAGCTTCCACCAATGTTTATAGCAGCTCAATTCACAACAGTTAAGCATGTTTTTAAAAAGTTTTCCATAGACCATAAAAAGAACTCAGTATTTGGTGTGTTTTTTTAAAATAATAATCATTACCCCATAAACTTGACATTTTTGAGCTAAACAACTTAATTTTTAAAAACTTAAAAAAAAAGACACTATGTTTCACTATGTTAGACATCGTCACACTTTCCTGAATCCATGCCAAAGTTTTCATAGAAAGGAAAAAAAACTTTTATAGCAGGAGTCTTAAGATTTATAATGTAGTTTCTTGATTGACATCTAAAGAGATTGGTGCAATGAAGTGCTTACTTCAGACTGTTGGAAAAATAAACAATTGGTATATTTTTTTAAAAAGCCAGTATTAATGCTTTAGTTTCTTGTCAACTATGACAGTTTCCATCTCTGAACTATATTGTCTTAGTCTAGATGAGGGGATTCACAAACTATATGAAGAACCAGGGAGTAAATATTTAGGCTTTGTGAGCTAAGAAACAAAATTGAAGACACTGTGTAAATACTTAAATAACAAGAAAAATTTTTATTAATGAAATTTAAACTATAGTAGTAATAATTAAATTAAAAAAATATATCTAATGAGAATAGGGGGTATATCATTGCATTTAATGGGGATTCAAAGTTAATGTTTTTTCTCAACAAACTCAACTGCAAAAGTTCATGTAAATGTTGATCTCTGGTATTTTATTTTTGAAAATGCCTTTTCAAAAAAATAAGTACTACCAGTTATTATTGATAACAATCCATGAACAGCATCTATTTTATAGAATTATATTAGGTTCTTCTCTTAATATTTACCTTTTAGCATGTCATTACAAGCCAGGCAGAGTGGTGCATACCTGTAATTCCAGTGACTTGGGAAGTTGAGGCAGGAGGATCTCAAGTTCAAGGCTAGCCTCAGCAACTTAGCAAGATCCTGGCTCAAGAAAATAAAAAGGTCTGGAAATGTAGCTGAGTGGTGGAATGCTCCTGTATTTATTCCCTACACACAAAGCAGAATCATGTGACTATGTTGTAGGTTATTCACTTCCAATGAAAGGTTAGGTGGGAGCTTCTCAATTCTACTGTTGATGGATTTTGAAATATAAGAAGTTCTTCTGCTTTTGTAGCCAGCTCCAAAAAACACCACCAGGATTAAGGAAACTGGTAGTTCCAGTTTTCTAGGATTAAGCAGGATCACCAGGATTTGAGACTGTAAGTGCTAAAACTGGGATAGTTCTTGTTTGTTTTTGATACTGGGTCTCAAGGTATTGCTCAAGTTGGGCTCTAATGATCATCCCACCGTGTGCCATCATACCCAGTAAATATATCTATTTGAAATTTGTAGGGACATAGATTTCATTTTGTTTTAACTTTTTAAAATACCTATTTATTTTTTATGTGGTGCTGAGGATTGAACCCAGTACCTTGAATGTGCTAGGCAAGCGCTCCACTGCTGAGCCACAACCCCAGCCCTTGTTTTAACTCTTGACAGTAAGTACAACCTAACATTATTTAGACAATCTCAATTAACACTGAAATGGATTAAGAAGCATTATCAAGTTTGCAGCAAAAACTGATTTCCAAAGCCATTTAGTCTGATAAGTGGTTAATGGTGCTTCTTTTCATTCAGAAAAATTTCAGTCTTAGTATTGAACTTAAAAAAAAAAATCACAAATTTTTGCCAGGTTTTTGAACTTCTGTGTGATAGAAAGTCCAGATATTCAACCTCTATTTTTGACGAAAATTCTCAAAACTGATAACAGTTAAACCCAAAGTGAATGAAGTTCACTATTGACATTGCTGGTTTAGTAACATATAACAGGGTAAAATATTTTCTGCAAAGCACATAATGATGAGGAACAAATACAGTAAAGAACCATAGGATTTGAGAAACATAGTAAATTTGAACAACAAAGTCTTTTTCCTCTGCATATGTTTCATCATCAGTTGTGAAAAATCTTATCAGATTATGTTTTAGGTTAATTAGAGTTTCTTTTTTAAAAAAATAATAAATATTTTTAATTTTAAAAAATATTCTTGCCTTTTTTTAATTAAAAAAATTTTTAGTTGTTGATGGACCTTTAATTTACTTATGTGGTGCTAAGAATTGAACCCAGTGCTTCACACATGCTAAGCAAGTGTCATACCACTGAGCCACAATCCCAGTCTTTTTTCTTTTTTAATATTCTTTTAAAATATTTTTTCACACAGACTATTTAATGAGGCTGAGTCTTTAATTACTTCAAATTTGCGCTTGCCTCACATGTGTGAGGCACTGGGTTCATTCCTCAGCATCACATAAAAATAAATAAAATGAAGGTATTTTGTCCATCTACAACTGGAAAAACAAACAAATAGCCAGGTGTAGTGGTGCATGTCTATAACCCCAGTGACTTGGGAGGCTGAGACAGGAGGATCACAAGTTCAAAGCCAGCCCCAGCAATTTAGCAAGGCCCTATGCAATTTATGGAGACCCTTTCTCAAAATAAAAAATAAAAAGGGCTGAGCATATAGCTCAGTGGTAAAGCATCTCTGGGTTCAATTCCGAGAGAGGGGGGAGGGGGAGAGGGAGAGAAAGAGAGAAAGACAAGTCAAAAATCTTGGCTATTAAAGTCACAATAAAATAAAATGTTCAGTTGTAAGTCTAAGAATACACCATGTTGAAGACAGAATCTTATCTCAGAACTAGAAGATAGTTGCTGGCCTTGAACATCAAGATTATATTAATGAAAAGAAAATAAGTAACCATGACCAGAATATACAAGAACTCTGGGAGAATATTAAAAGACCAAATTTAAGAATCATTGGATGCAAGCTAACAGCATGGATAAGCCTCTTTAGGTAAATAGTAACAGAAATTTTTCTAAACCTTCAGAATAAGATAGACATCCAGATTCAGAAGGCATTCACAACCCCAAATAGACAAGATTAAAAAAGAAGCTCTCCATGTCACATTGTAATTAAAATGCCTAACATACAAAATAAGTATAGAATTTCTTCTTAAATATTTATTTTTTAGATTTGCAATTGGACACAATACCTTTATTTCACTTACTTATTTTTATGTGGTGCTGAGGATCAAACTCTGGGCCCTGCACTTGCTAGGTGAGAGCTCTACTACAGCTGAGCTTACAACCCCAGCCCAAGGATAGAATAAAAAGCCTCAAGAGAAAAATGTCAAGTCAGAGGCAAGCTGAACAGCATTACATCTCA